TTTTAGATAAGTTTTCTTATTTATAACAGGCGAATTGTAATAATGTATTTTCTACTGTTTTTCAAAAAGAACTACCCAGAAAGAGAGTTTTTCAACGAACATAAATCAAGTAAATATAAATACAGTTGAGATTTTAGAACGAGGAAATAGAGATACAACAGAGATTTTGGAACTGTCACAAAACAACAGCGTAGATGCCATAGAAAAGTAGAGTAAAAATGCAAAAGCTGAGTTGACGTTACATCGTCCTAAGACAATTTCTGAATATGAACAAATATTGAAAAGAATGGAGAAGAATTGGTTGCGAAGTGAAAGGAAGCAGAAGAATGGCGATAAAGTTACAGAAAACGAAAATAAAATTGAAGAGAGATTGCAACAGGAAGTACGATCGATGACACAAGTGAATGCTATGAATAAGCTATTTAATGAAGATCTGATTAAAATTTTGACTATTGTTAATAAAAAAATACCACATTAGAATAACGATACATTAATCAAAACTTATTGCTTAAAAATATATAAAATTAATAAGGAGCATTCAGCCACAACGCTAGATGTGTTATGCTAAAGTCATATATTTCAAAATTGATAATAAATTAGATAGACGTTTCGGTCAAAATTTGACCATCTTCAGTGCAATCATATAAAAAAAGTTGTTACAATACAAAAAAAGGAAACAACATTAGATAAATTTCCTATGTCCACGTGAAAATCGATATGCATGTCTTTTTGCAAGTTTAAGTCAAATACGAATTACATAATTACTCATTCAACTACAATGACGTAAAACAACTTCTGTCAAAAATGTGATGTGTCTTATACGTGCCACAATGTATTTTATACTCTGATATACATTTCATTTATAGATTAGCATCATTACGACAATGCGAGAATAAAAGTTGTGATTTTAAATTTAACGAAGTAAGATTCTTATCGGTACGTGCGAATATCCTTCCGTATGCCAGGTTGAAACTTTCAGTCTTGTTTTTACACGTGATTCCCTAATACTGTCAGAAAATTTTAAAATTTTTTTAAAAAACCAGAATCGAATCTTATTGATTTATATATGTCAATTACATTTTATATTGCAATAAAGTTTTATTCAAAATTTAAGAAATATACCACGTATTTGTGCACAATCTTGAATAGAGTGAGATAACACACTGGTATGACCGGTAATTTCTCTGTTAACAAAACTTGGAATATATATGCACGACAATTGCTGACTAAATGTTTTCACACAACGCGGAAGAAGCAGATATTATGTTTAGCATGATGACAAGGAAGGAAGTGGAAGGCCAACTAGAGGGGATAGAAACTTATTATTTTGGAGGAGTTATAATTGGTAGATAAATCTCAGGAAATCGTTCTGTATTATTTTGCTTGTTTAAACTTATATTTTGTCTCTTTATGTGTATCATTTCTGAGACTAATTTTTTATAATGCCTTGGTTCGGAGTCCATAATGATGGTCAAATTTTGACCGAAACGTCTACCTAATTTATTATCAATTTTGAAATATATGACTTTAGCATAACACATCTAGCGTTGTGACTGAATGCTCCTTATTAATTTTATATATTTTTAAATTTAAGCCACTTAAAATACTATTGTTTATTGCTTAAAATTTGCTTGCGAATCGCATGGATATCAAGAATTATGTTAAATAATTTTTCATTGCCTTCTCTTCGAACTCTAAATCGTCATATAGAAAATTTAAAGTTTATACTGATACTTGTAATGAAATATTTGAATTTGTGAAATTCAAAGTAGTTCAATTTAAAAGTAATCTAGATAAAGATTGCATTGTTATCGTGGATGAGTATAATACTTGGAAAGTTTTTTTATTGTATACGTCAACAGATATAAATCTTGGTGAATCCACAATCTAGCAACTGAGAATAAAACACAAATGAATATTCATCGTCAAAAACTCGCTTTAACTCTCAAGTCACTTAAGAGGTCTGTTTTCTGTGGCTGAACTAGTGTACACTTTTAGAATTTAAAATGAGATAGATATACGTTTGATATTTTACATGGCAGAGTCAAGCGTCGAGCGTCAGAGCATAAACAGTAATATGTTTAATAATTTTACTGAAATTGAATTTAATGTACAAGATACATTAATAGAGGAATCTTATAGTTTACACTATATAATGTAAATAAATATAAATTTTCAGCATTATATGTTAGGATAGTAGTGTATATCAGAATATAACCTCTCATAATTTACCATTTTGCGCCAAGAAGTTGTGCAGAAGATTATTGCGCAGGAGTCTTAGAGATTCAAACTTCTGCGCGATAATGTTCTGCGTAGATGTTCGACGCTTGACGCTTGCATGTAATGGTACCTTAACACATGTACATTGGCTTCCTTTGTTTTTTGTTGCTTTTGATTTTTTTTCTCCTTACAATGGATGGATTCGAATAAGAAAATCCGAATACACATACCTATCCAAATAGAACAGTAAGTCACGATAACGTCAAAATGATCTAATCGGAAATGATTAAAAAATGACTTTTAATGATCATTTTAGAATAATTTTGACATCATTTTGATATTATAATGACTTGTTGTTCTGCTTGGGTATTTCTCGAAAAAAATTACACTTATTCCACATTTGACTTTGCTAAAGATTTTTTAACTTTTGACTCTCCTAAAGTCCTACAAATCTTCCATCTTATGTTAACGTTATTCGCTGTTGTTTTGAACAAAAGTACATTATATCATTATCTTCCGAATTGCCTCCACAGAAGATTACTTTCTCAGCAATAGTGGATGCGATGGCTAATAAAATTGAATTGTTGTATTTGACAGCATCTATTCTGACAGTACACCAGAGTTGTACAAATGATTTCTTCGTATTATAACAAGTACTGGCACAAACGAAAGTCTTATTACAACAGTGATAAAGAAAAATCTGAGTTCAAAAAGGATTTTGAAATATTCAAGATCAAAGTATTCAAGAAATACACAAGACTAAAACAGCGAAATTTTTTGATATTTCTGCATATAAATGTAAATTGTCAAATAACTGTAGCTGTAATAAACCTCTGACTTCCTGCATTTGTCCATGCTTCATATCTATTGACTGTAAATGTAAAAAAAATCGCAAAATTTTTTCCTTTTATAGAGCGAAAATTCTCTTTGATCAAAGAATTTTGTTATACTTGGAAAGATCGATTCTGTAGATGCACTTAAAACTGCGAGACTTCGAGTTTTATTGTTCTTGATTCCCTTGATTACGTTATTGTACTTTTTTGGAATTGTAATGATTAAGTGCATAATATTGACCATGTTAGTGTATTACTGTCAGTTGACTACCAATACTGAAAATCTATAGTTCTCGTTACGTATACTATACTGTACTGACAACTAGCACTAATATATAAACACGGCCATCATGTACGACTAATAATAATTGTCTGATAAAGTCTGTCCATTGTTAATTTTACTACAATACTATGAATCAAGAAATTCAACAGGTTATCAGCCCAGTAAGAAAAGATACATCTGTATTATGTTTTTCTTCTTTTTCTATCTAAAATAACAATCTTTATCTCGATGATTATCTTTTTTACATATAGAATATGTGAAATGCTTTTCTTTACCTTTCTTAAAACAAGCAGAAGCAAAGTAATCTTCTTTATTACTAGAGCCCAGATTAAGGTTTTGAGATCGCATCAATCGTAGCTAGCTCTCACTGCACCTCATCCCCCATCGCCGTGGCGCCGTCGCTCCCCGCGTCGCCCAAGAATCCACTGCATCCACGCATACGATTTCCATGCGAGGTTTAGTTTTTCTTTCTTCGGATCAGTTAAAATTTGGAACTGCAGTACCTAGGAACACAGCTCATAATCTGCGTAATACTTATATAATACCAACAAGATCAAGAGTAAAATAGATTGGATAAAGACAATTAAAAATCCAGAGTGTAAAGATAAGGAAAAACTTACAAAAAACCCTATAATCTTGATTACAGCTCCATAGATGCATATCAACCCGAATAGAGACCAGACAAGTAATGAGAGAAAAATAACAAGCCAAAAGACAATAATCAGCTAAAGAATAATGGTAAACAGATGCTAAGACAATGTATGCGAAAGCACATGCAACTGTATAGAGAGAAATCCAATCTAAATGTGAAAAGATATGAGATAATTATTTAATAATCAATACATTAAAAATGTAATAATTTCAATTTCATGCAGAAGACCAGGCAATCCACCCGCCATAAGAGATCATAATGGCTCGCTCCGATAATACGCATGCGGGAATATATCATCGGGATCAGCAGTTAATGTGTGATTATTCATCTGCTTGTTCTGTATGAAGGACTAGTAAAGTTTGAGGAGACACTTTAATCTAAGCGGAATGTCTTCTATAATATTATTGGCCTTATTACAGATAAACGGATTAATGTGTTTGTCATTATATGCACGAGAAATTAGTGCAGTAATCACAACGTCGACATATTCCATATTTGATTCTAAATACAAGTCAGATATAGATGCTCCTGCGATTATTATGGATATTTTTCGAAATTTGTTCTCTCTGCAAAATTTGTATTCTCTGCACTCTGTCAACGTGTCACTATATTCCTGTCGCCCAGACGAGTACAGCATACAATAAAGCTGGTCTGGCACACATCTTATACATATAAAAGAATCTTATTTCAGAGATAGAGAATTTTTTTAATTGATGAAAGGCTGTACAGATCTCAGCAAAACATATAATTTATTGAGACCATTGAAGATTGCCGGACTTTACCAGAGAATGAAATAAAGAATGATCCCAAGATATCTGACTTGTGGATTATTGTACTTGTTAGATATTGTATTAAAATTCGAAATTTTTATCAATGGAGGTTCTAATGTGTTTGCGGGTGAAATTGATTGTCTCTGTAGATAATAATATAGATAATTAAGACGCCCTAACAATGATAATAATATAGATAATAAAGACTCCCTAACAATAAAAATAATAAGATAGAAGGCAATAGGAGTCGGACGCGGAAATTAGTGCGCAAAATAATAATAAACTAAAAAGCCAATTTAATACATTCGAAGTCTTCGCGTGCTTACACGTTACGGCTCATTTTAAGCCTTCTTCAGAAAGCATAGAACAACGTCGTAGAAGTGCTTCAAATTGCGTAGGTATATCGAATTAGTCGTACCTTCCCCGTGGAAATTCGAGTCACCTACAAAACAATATAATATGCATCATTCACAGACGGTTGGAACACTATATGAAAAAGAAGTCTAGATGTGTCGATAACTAAACAAACTTATCTTTTTAAAAAAGGTAAAAAAGGCATTAAAAGTACGCGCTCTTCGAAAAAAGTATTATCTTTATTAATTTATATATAACAAAATATGACCTAAATGACATGCTACGTATTTTTATATTCTCATTGAAAGTTTTTCTATTCCAACCCAAATAATAGCTTTAATTTTCTTTCAAAAATTATTATATCAAAAAATTTACTTTATTTAAATCAAGTCATAGCCAACAATTGGCGCCAAGTTAAATTTCATAAAATTTTATATATTATTCATATAAAAAATTTAATATCAAGAACTGGTGCCAAGTTAAAACCCCATACTAAATTAAAGAATATAACGTAAGTAATGGGTTTAATTTTTATACCTACCACTAATAAAACCTAAGTATATATATCGTCGTGTTCTTATTGAATGATCTTCCTATTTTAATTTAAGTGATTTCAATTTTTCTTAAAAGAAATTATATCACAATCACAAACATAAAATACAAAGAGCATTCAGCCGTGCGCGCGGTGTTTTTTGCGAATGTTATATATTTAAAATTCGCAAAAAACATCTTGCACGTAACTGAATGCTCTTTGTATTTTATGTTTTTTGCGAATGTTATATATTTAAAATTCGCAAAAAACACCTTGCGCGTGGCTGAATGCTCTTTGTATTTTATGCTTTTTGCGAATGTTATATATTTAAAATTCGCAAAAAACACCTTGCGCGTGGCTGAATACTCTTTAGGATAAACTAGGGTATTATGGCCATACGGAAAAGATGGCCATAGGCCATAATTTCTCCAATAATTGATAAATAGTACATTTTATAGTCATTCTTAAAGATAATCAATATTTACAGTAATTCATATGAGTACACTGTTCAAAATAACAATATTATAAATATTATCTAATATTTTTTCTTTCGACTATCTGCAAAGTTTTGCACGTGTCTGTTAAAAACTGTTATAATGTCTAATAAATTACAGTTAAGCTGCCATAATCAACATTACATACACAATAAAGGTACGTAAATTGCAATGTGACGTATAATTAATACTTTTATTTTCACTATTTATTTATAAATACTATGGCTGTCTTAATATCATGGCCATCTTTTTCCTAAAAATCAGATAAGATGGCCAATGCATACTTTGTAATATTTTGATAAAATTAAAGTTCTGTTAAGTATTTTCTCTTTAATTTCTCTCTCTCGATAGTATTTTATCGTGATACATACAAGAAGTATTCACATAATGATCTGAACATGTGTTTATTAATTCTGAACATGTTCTTTCATTAATATTTGAATATTCTATGAAAATTCTTCTGTTATTCCGGAATATATCGCACATTGGAAATACAAATAGAACTTTTCAGGAATGATATAAGTGTTCACTGAAGAAAATTCAAGCAATTTTATATGGAAATTACATGTTTATGACTGGAAAATTACTTAAATATGATTGGAAATTTACGATAATTGTAAATTTCCAATTATATTTAGGTAATTTTCCAGTCATAAACATGTAATTTCCATGTAAAATTATACATAAATTTTTTTCAGTGTTGTTATATTTTCAGCGTTAGCTGAGAATATTTTTCGTTTAATTGCGAATATCGTAACATTCGTTATTATGATTTCTTATCCTTTTCTTTATACCGCTCTATTAAATTTAGAACCACCTTTTCTTATGTTGTTAACAAACATTTTAATATATAATCTTTTTCCATTCGCAATGTGATCTTTCTGATTATCTTCTTTTCTCACCGTGGCACCGCCCGACAAAATAACTTGTCAAAATTTGTTCGAAAACTTATCAGAATTTATCCGAAATTTTGTTCGAATTAATCCGAAAATTTGTCAGAATTATATTAACATTGGAAAGTTTTTGTAGGAATTCATTAGAAAATAATTTCGGAGAAATTTGGGAATATATATTTTTCGATCAATTTCTATCATTTCCGAGGATTCATTTTACGGATTTGGAGGAAATTTTGGAGATAATATTTTTTGTATATTTTTGATACATTCTGTGAAATATTTCGGGCTTTTTCTGTAGTTACTACTTAATTTCTATAGTTATATAACTTCAATGTAACTGTTGGCAACAACGTGACTGAATAGTAATTGGATAATAATTACTATTATTGGCAGATAATTTACTGTATTAACTAATTATGTGATAATAATATTGTAAGTCCGTACCGACATTTTTTCATATTTGACTTGAAAATATTTCACACAAACGACACGTACATTCGCGTGCGTGTATATATTGTGCAAATTCTAATCTATATATTTATATTTAATTGTAAAAATTGAACATTTTACATTACAAAATACTAATAGATTTTCGAAAATCTAATTGATATTAGTCAAATCAAATTAACACTAATAGATTCTCATGAAAATCGCTATGAAATAGTTACTATTTATAATTACTATTTATTCCAATAGTAAACTATTCACGATTCTAATAGTAATGAATGGTAAATGCTTTGAATTGTAACTAGTTCAATATTGAAGCGAATAGTAATTTGTAATTTTTCCTAAAAATTTTCGCTCCAATAATATAAACTACTTACGATAACTTATGAATAATCATATTTCTCAATAGTTACTTTCTATACGAGCAGAACATGAGCCATATCTCGGAATCATGCGTTTGACTCGCAGGTTGCGCCTCTGCGCATATATATATATCCGCGAAATAAAGTTATCTAACCCGTGTCCTTCCATATCCCCTCCTTTTCAATCCTTTCTCTTGCCAAATAAACGTAAATAAAATTCTCGGGGTTTGGACATAACACTGAGCATAACATGATATCATATTATACTGATAAAATGTCGTTAGAAATCGAGTTTATCTACTTGCACTGCATGACAACAAAAATACGGGAGAAATCGAGCACATATATGCTGCAGTCTCAAAAAATAATAACAAAATACAGCAAAAATACTGCGTGATCTGTCATAAAATAATGACAGAAACATACCAAATATTATATTACATATATTATAATAGATTATGGATAGTTTTTTTTCGTTTATCATCATACGATGTCGTTATAGGATTTGTCTCGTATTCTTATAGGCAAAACGCAAAACACGACTAATGAGAATAAATACAAATAAAATTCTCGGGGTTTGGACATAACATGTCATATTATACTGACAAAATGTCGTTAGAAATCGAGTTTATCTACTTGCACTGCATCATGACAAAAATACGGGAGAAATCGAGCACTAAAAATATGTATAGTATTTTTTCTATCACTTAATTTTTCCACAATTCCAATAGAAAATTCAGATACTAAACTAATTGCTTGAAATCCGAACAATTTTTTCAATGGAGAATTGTTTACTGACTGCTTGAAACATGAAATAAAAGTTAAATTTCTCTCTCTTATAAATTTATTTCTCAAATTATTAATAAATAAATTAAAAGGCACAATACTCCAATTTATTAAAAAGTTTCACAGCATTATGTTGTCACGGCACATCTTATACAATTTTTACTGTTAGTATCTGATATGACAAATCATGTTAGCAGACTTGGCTATATAGGATAATAATAAAAAAATCAACATACCTGTATGTTTTTACTAACTGCAGTGAATAATAACAGTTGATAAAATAAATTCCCGCACTAGACTGTTAATGCGTCGCAAACGATGAATGCTTTTATAGCAATGCATATCCTTATGGCGCACGAAGTTGCGGTTAAACCTATGCATCATGTACATTTATTAATGTGAGTTGTTGCATTATTTTAAAAAGTTATAGGACATTTCGAAAATACTTATAACTTTTAAATATGGTATCTAAAAGATGTCTTAATAACGTCTTTAATGCTCGTTTCTATCAATATAGATTATATAAGTAACTTTAATCTCGGTTCAATTTACTCTTTATCTCTTTTTCTACTTCTTAGATCTAGAAAAACATAAAGAATTAGTTGGACCGAGATTTAAAGTAAACTACATTGATATATGTAGAAACGGACATATAAGATGTCCTATATCCGATGTTGATGCATATATGCTGTCTGAAATTGTATTCCACATGTCAATTAAAAAAGAGAAATCATATGCTCTTTTAAAAAACTAAAAAAAATTCTGAAAAATACTATAACATATGTAGAATATAATACAATAAAGGAGATTTTAGGATCGCAGGAGATTTTGGGATTCACTCGTAAACAAATATTTTTTCAAAAACGAGAGAAAAATTGGAATTTCAAACAAATCATTACAAAACAAATAAATTTTTAAGATACTTCTATTTACATATAATTTAATGTATTATTGATTGATTATTTATTAGCGGTTGTAAAAAAGTTTCGTTTATTTTATAAAAGAAACGAAAAAAAAATATAAATAAAAATTTTAAAATAGGAAATATTTACGATCGCTAGCTAATTAAACAGTAATACACTGTAAAATTATATGTAAAAGGAAATATCTTTAAAAAAATCTACTTGTTTTATATTATGATTTTGCTGAAATTCTAATTTTGTTTTGAAAAAAATATTCATTTACGAGTGGATCCTTCTGCAATCTTAAAATTTCCCTTATGATATCACATTTTACATGTATTGAAATTTTGTGAGAATTTTTTTTAGATTTTTAAAAGTAGATATAATTTTTCATTTACACTCATTTAAAAATAAAAAATTAATTTTTTTCATATTACTAAATTTTTCTTGCTAAAATTAACTTTTTTATCTAATCTAAACATCCTAAAAAATTCATGTCTATAAAAATTTTGTGTATTTTGTAATTTTAGTTTACAAGTAACAAAAAAAACTTCTTTAAACGACTATACCTGTAATATCTTGGATGCAAGGCACGTAATATTTATTTTTTTGGCCTTTAACATTACATGTATAATACACGTCTTCATGATCATTTAAAAAGTCCCAAGCAGTTTCATTTTTAGGTGGACTCCTGACGTGAAATGTGCCACATTATACAATGACTCACAAAACTGATCGATGATAAACATAGTTACTTCTTTCTTTATTTTCTTGAAAATTCATAAATAAAGATATATTTATAGCATGAAGATTAGAGATGTTTCTTTATATATATGTTATATTAATATTAAAAGGCCATTTTTTCTTTGATTACCTTCTTTGAATTAGACTATTAGACGTAAATAATCGTTTTGTACATTTAATCCACTTTGTGAGTCACAATATACTTTTTTATCTAATTAACTAGATAATATAAAATATATTATATAAGATATTATTTTATATTGCAAAAAGTTATAAAAGAAAAGAGAGAAGATGCTGTTAAGTAAATAAATTGACGGATGTTGACTTTTGTATAGCTCATTTCCTCAAAAACGTATTTTTAGAAAATGATGTTGACGTATATTATTAAATTTGACTTTAAATAAGCTTTACTTTCATTTACAAAATTTTACAAAATTCTCAAAAACATTAAAGAAAAATATAACATTTCCAAAAAATCTAAATATATCATTATAAAGTGCTTTTAAAATCATAAAAGTTTTATTGAACACATTTGTATATCTTTTATCGTTTCGATAATACGCTTACATCATTGAAATGATCTTACGTAAAACTGGTTTTTTTCGATCTGTACTACACATATCCAAAACTTATCAATTCGTAAAAGAATACTTGAATCTGTTTCTTGTAAGGCTTATTATCTAATCGCAAATCTCGTGCACAATGATATTAAATTAATTTTTTAGTTGAGTTTGAAATTCTTATAAAAAATTTGGATGAACAATTAATATAACCGAATTGTTTGAATTATAAATTCGAAAAATATATAATTTTCAAATTTATATCTACAATTTTTCAAGAACGATGTCAGCGTATACTTATCCTTCAAAAGATATTAGACAAAAAAAATGTTTACTTATTATTAGACATAACTTTGTAATAGAATTAACCTTTCTCTATGATTGTATGGTCAAATATCAAATATCAAACGATCACGTATCAAACAGTATTAATAATTAACTAGAGAAGAGAGTAAAAAAACTGCGAATTTATAAGGGAAAATTTAAATTAAAGTCAACGATCATATTTATCAATTATTATATATAGAAGTCTTTATTCAAAGGAGAGACTCCAATTATTTGACTTTCAATTATAATAATTAACATTAATATAACAATATAAAAATAAAATATCAATATTAATAATGTTAAATAAGGAACAAAATCCTTATATATGCGTACCGTTCGTAATTATCCGCTGCAAGCGGGGGCAATGTCAAATCGGGTTCTGTTTTTTAGTTTATTTAACTTTTCCCTTAGGAATTCGTAATTCCCCTACTCTTTTCCACATTAAAAACATCTAAAAATAATATGAAATAAAATGATTTACCTTAAATAGTATTATATGGTCACACGTATTATAGTGCGATACTGAGAATATATCGGACTATCGTTAGGTGCTAGAAGTGAGAGGTTATCACTACTCTAATATACTGCTATGTACTGTAATAGTATCGTTCGTGTTCACTTCGTGTTCGCAATTCCCCTCACTCTCCCCTACTAAATTCTGGAAAAAAAAACATAAGTTCGGAATTTTCCCACTCTCCTATTAATTTAAAAGAAAAAAAAAACAAGTTATTCATATAATTAAACTATATATCATTTCTTAGTAAATATTTTATCTTCGCGAAGAAATCTCCATCAATAAATTTATAAGTATTCAGATTTCTTTTTTATTTTTCGAAGACGAACTAATATCAAGCTTTTTATAGTTAAAGATTAAAAAAGGAGCATACAGCCAATACGTTGGTTGTTTATTGCGATGTAATATATTTAAAATAATCTTTACCAATTGAAAATCATAAACGTTTCGACCGATATTCGGCCTTCAGTATATTCTACTACAATTATTAAGTCGGAAATTAAGTAAAAAATTCAATTGAAATAAAAGAATCTTTTTATAATTATTTTTATCTTCAATAACACGCATGCACGCACGCACGCACGAACGCATATATAAATGAAATATATGCTAAGAATTCTTCCCTGGTAGCAAGCTGACGTCAAAATGACGACAAAATGACGTAGCTTGCTACCTGGGTTCTTTGTTTAAAATTGTTCTGCATTAATAAATATATATACACACACACATATATATAGGGTGTCCTGAAAGTTTTTGCCAATCACTTTTGTGTAGATAGAGCGGACTAAACTGAGTCGAAAAGTGCTCTACCATTTTGCAATTTTTACAATTATTAACAAGATATTACTAAAAATTGCCAAATATTGGGTCTTGAATAATTTTTTATTCAAATACTATCAACTTTATAGAAAAGCTGCAAGAGACAAAAATCATTTATTTTCTTCTCATAAAGTTCTGAGAATTTTTTAAGAATTTTTTCAGAATTTTTTAATACCGTATTTTCTCATGTTGGTAAAAATAAAAAAATACAGTACTAAAAAGTTAATAAAAAATTCTTAAAAAATTCTCAGAACTTTATGAAAAGAAAATTAATGATTTTTATCTCTTGCAGTTTTTCTGTAAAGTTGATAGTATTTGAGTAAAAAATTATTCAAGACCAATATTTGGCAAGGTTTAGTAATTAATATCTTGTTAACTATTGCGAAAATTGCAAAATAGTAGAAAACTTTTCGATTCAGTTTGATCCGCTCTATCTATACAAAAGCGATTGGCAAAAACTTTTGAGGCACTCTGTATATATATATAAATCGATCAAATTTCAAAACCATTTGATAACTCACGAATCAAACGAATGTTCTCAGAGTACATAACTTCATTAATTTATGCTATTCAGCATAAATACGGAAAAACATCAATTTATTCTGAGATATGATCAATTTATAATCCATTTTTAACGAAAATATAAACCACTGGAATAACAATCTTCAAGTATGAATAAACTTTGAAGCTATTTAATGACTTGAAAAAATGTTCTGTGTCCGTAGAATTATTTCAATTTACATCATAATAGAGTAACCAGAATAAGTTGTGATATGAACAAAGATTAACTTATTGCGATGTATAGTATAGTGAAAGGATAAACTTGCATGATCTTTGGCTTCTGACGTCACAAAACTAATACTATATGTTGCAGTGAGGAGCCGAACGCTTTAGGCGCTTTCAAGAAAAAGGAGAAGAAAGTATTGATTTACGATTAATAAATATTAATTTGTAAAAAAAAAACAATATGAATGATTTATCTCTCACAAAGGAACGAGCTATATATATTGCAAAAGTAATATCAAAAGTTGCCAGTCAAAGCATCACACATTTGGAATAGATATTTTATATAATAGTCTTATGATTCTATGGATTCTCTCTGTATCCAACTTGAGCTGAACATGTTTGATCATTTTAATTTAAAGATATCATGAAATAGACTTTTATCACTTATTACGATTATTTACTGACTGTCAGTGAGGATAAGAATATAGTTTTCGTCCGTTTTTACAATTATTTCAAAGCGATCTCATCATTTCATTTTATCCAAATTGTCTTTATTTATATAGAAATAGCACTACGTAACAAAAATCAACATGTCATTTCTCATCATTATTGTGTTTTTACCAGGGAAAACAATGTTATATAAATGGACATATTTTATATATAACTATATATAATTATATATGAAACATTTTTTCCCGGGTAATCATTTCTGACGATTCGATATGGCCGTAATGATTACTCAAAAGCTTTAACTGTTTATAAAAGTAACTTATTATTTTCAAAAATAACAATTAAGAATTAAAAAGAGCATAAAATAGAAACGTGCACGCGGTTTGTATTATTTTGTTAAATAAATTAGACTAGCGTCATTAAATAAATGTTAATTAAATTAAAAAGAATTAAACCGGTTTTAGTTCTTCTTTCGACTGCATTTTATAACAGTAGTTCGATATTGGTCTTTATCTATTAATTCTGTCTTTATTTTACTATAAACTATCGTACTTATTTTGTTCATAACATTGTAATTTTTCTAAAAAATATATTTATGAATTATTGTAATTCTATTTCGAAAAAGATAATTTTAACAAAATGTAATAATCAAAAAATGCAAATATTTTCGTCGATTTTCCGATTTTTTCATAGTAACAAGCTTAAACTATGAAAGAAATACAGCAATATATGTGCATAATTTATATAAAAAGCTTTAAATCGTTTAAATTTCTCTCTCTCTCTCTCTCTCTACCACTATTTACCCTGCATATATGTATACTTGATTCTTCATAAAGGTATAGCAAGAATACATTAATTTTATGTTTTATTTATTTCTTATAATTCTTACCTTATATGGATCAGTAAAAAAATTCATGCCCAATTTATTATTCAAAGATCAAACAGCTGCAATTTTGTTAAAAATAAATGAAATTTAAATTTAAAAAAAGGGTTTTAAAGCTTGAAATCTCTACTTTCGAATAGTTATTATATTTTTTGAGAGTTTATGTGAGTTTTGTAATTTTTACATATAGAAAACTACGAGCTGAAAAAAAGAAAAATTTTCTTTTCACTTTGTAAGTTTGTAGCATGCTAAAAAAAATTTAAGAAAATTTTCGACTCTTTATCGTAAAAGTTTGAAGTTTTCCCTATAAAATCGTTTTTTTAATGTTCCTACGATTTTTTGTTACTAAGAGAAGAGAGTTGTTGTAAATTAAATAAAATGAATATTTTGATTTTGATTGCTCATAACTCCATCAAAACCATCACAATTAAAAAAAATAGATTCTTAAATTCTCTCATCAGATAGAGTAAGATTTTGATTTTATTTTATTTTTAATAAAAATAGCAGCTGTTTGAATAATAAATCGGACACGAACTTTTGCACTGATCCAATAACTTCCTTTATAGTTTAAAATTTATGTTCGTTAATTATTAATATTGACTTTCTATAAATATATATATATATATATATATATAGTATATATTATAACGTGTGTGTGTGTGTGTGTAAGGGTGTACAAAAAGATCTCTTAAATGTCTTGAAAAGTAAACATTTCTAAGGAAAATGTTTCATACACAAATATTTTAAGGTTTAAAATGATCTATTTACTGATCGTAATTTGCCTTGGATGGCGCCACCAAGGTCAGGTAAAGATCAAATCAATTTTTTTAAATGAAATACCCTATTTTTATTTCAGATCTAATAGTTGGTGTTAAGAGCTCTTGAAAACACTACAATAAAGCTTCTTTTTAATCAGTACTTTTCGAGTTATAAGATTTGAAAGTTACAATGTCGGCATTAGCATTACCTAAGGTTTATTCTGTGTTATCTTTGATTGTAAAATATTTACTTAAAATACTAATGCTGAACAGGAGCGTATCCCTTTTAAGGTGGTTGTATCGTATAGGAGCGACCTGTAAGGGAGGCAATCTCCTGAAGCACCAGCGCATGAGGGCACCGTACGGTGGTGAAAAAAAATTACTGTTAAAAAATTGCTGCAGATCGCAATTTTTTAACAATAATTTTTATTTCCCTACAGTAATTTTTAATTCTCCATAGTAATTTTATTTCCTCACTGTGCGCCGGTATTTGAGAATGAGTTGATAAGCGAAGTGGATATTAGTGAAGTAGTAAAGCAACTCTTTCTAAGGTTTTATAATTAATATTTGTCCGATTATCATTTTCTACAGTTTAGGAAATTCGTATTATATTTATTTATAGTTCTTTAGTTTTTGAGAGAATTTCTAAATACCGTTTTTGCGCTATAAAATATACTGTCGCTCCTTGTCTGGCACAGGGAATTCCTTGTCTAGCACATATTAAAAATATTTTCAAATGCACAATTATATTTTAAACATGCCTGGTTACCCTCTCCCCTCCCATCTCTCAAAATGATACGTATGTATAGAGAATATCATTATCTTCAAATAGTAAAAGCTTCAAACAAATTTTAAGAAAAGTCATTTTACAATACAACCACCTTAATGACGCGAGGATGGGGTGAGGTCTTACGCACAAGTGACAGAATTTTTATTTTTTAAAAATAAAGACAATAATATATCTAAATCGACTATCATTCATCTGAGTATTTGTCATTCCTTTAACGTTAGAGAAAAGGTTTACAGTACTTAGTATTCATTTCGGAAGAAATTAAATCTGATAGAAAGTGAGTACATGGAATTAGTGTTAGGAATGGAAAATGGATTTTTAGAATTTATCGTCCTCCCCCTTATTAATACGCCTTTATGCAATGCACAACTTGCACACCTGCTTGCAGTGAGCCTGTTTACTGCAATAGGTTGTCTTTAAACATTTATCCTTTAATAACTCGTTTTATCTAAGTATTAATTATATTTATCTCTATATCTCCATTTCTATGTTCCAATATCCTTCCCTTTCCCAGTAAAACATGTTTCGTACATAATTTTATATAAATAGTTACATATAAATATACAAAACTTTATTAAAAATATGTCCCATATGTAATTATATATACTTATGTAATAAATTTAGTAACAAATTTATGTAATAAAATCTTGCAATAGTATAAATAATAGAGTAAATATTGTTCGTATCCATTACATCCAAAAATTTAATAAAACATTTATATATATATAGCACTTTAAAGATAATTAATAATGTACTTCAATCCTTGGAAAGTTAATAATAAACGGAATGGAAAAATATACTTTAATATTTTGATAAAATTTTGAAGGAATCATTCTTTGTTGTAGATTTTCATTGTTATTATTTAATAAACTGCAAATAAATGTTTGCAGCTAGTTATTTTCAATTAGTCCAGATTAAATATTTATAAAAATTATGGATGTTAACAATAACTTCAAACATAAATACAAAGTATCATCATGATAGATTAGTTATAAACGTAATTACACAAAGACGTATGTACGATTATTTTATTTACACACACATATATATATATATATATATATATATATACGCAAGTAAACCAGAGCGTTTTATAATTTTAAAATTCCAATCATATCTATTCAACTGAAGTAAAAATCTTTATCATTATCTTTAAAATGCTTTAAATTCTAATTATAAATAAACACTCTGATTATGAATACTTCTGCTTAATTCATTCTTTAATTATGATGCTGCAAATATTTATTCAGATTATTCAATATGAATTATAAAAATATTTTAAGTTCCTATTGAGATAAATATAAAAAGCACGAATATAAAAAGAACATATAGTACGTATGCGCATATATTTCTGTATATAAAAAAATTAATTTTATGTATATATATATTCTATATATGAATAACTAAAAGAAAATATTCATATATGGTATTACATTTATGGATTATCAGATTATATTGGAATATAGTATATTTTAATATTTATAACTGATCAAACAGCAAATATGTTATTGGTACAACTAAACCAGTTTTTGTCCACGTTGTAGCAAATAAAACTTTAACCAGCCACCAAATCAAACCTAATAGAGCAGCTTGTAAACCCAGATGAGCAATCGTAAGACTGGAATATAAATGTCAATCGCTATAAATATATAATCATTAACGCTGATTAAGTAATCATATATTCAACGAATATACTTACATTTTATGTTTGGAACGTGCTTTCGGTAAAGATTTTGGAGATTCATTATGAAGATATGTTCTGACACCTTGTATCAAATCTGTAAAATAGTCTTTCCAGATTAATGGTCTCATATCAAGCGTAAATAATTTTTGATCTTCTAGTGATAACGATTCGTGTAACTGCAACAAGCGCGGATTATTAAATCTCCATTCTTGAAAGATAAATTTCTCAAGGCGTTCTAATGATCTGTTGACATTTGTATGCAAACGAACTAAACTGAAAAAATAAGAAAGACGACACATTCATTCAAAAAGAAATTTCATGACGAATCGATATATATTTTATGTGAAATATTGAACCTTACATAGGACGGCCTCCGCATAATCGTGTAATTGCATCCAAAATATAAGCAGGAATGAAATGAACAAAGATAGCCGAGATTCTAAACAAAAAGAGCGATGGTAGAAACTTGAGATATGGATACCAAACGGCGCTTCGTATCGGATAGGTGTGTAAATAGGTATTAATTTCCTTTTCTACAGACTCCCATGTGAAAGAGTTACACGTGCTAGATGTACAGTGATACACCTTTAACCCTTTGTCACTAAAATTACAGATTAGAAAGCTTAAATATTATATATAATTTAAATATCATAATTTAAAGAAAGTGCGTGTCTCTTCTATAAAGTAAAATATGTGCAAAATTTTTTCAGAATTACCTGTCACGGTCGACATTATAAGCTGCAACAATCAAACTATTTACGACCATATCTACTGGAATATAATCATAAATAAGATGTTTTGCAACTGGCAATCTTCTTATAACACCCTTACCGGCACCTAATATAAAACCTTGTGGTCCATTCTTTGATATTGTCCATCCTGGAACTGGTTCTTTCCATGCTCCCGCTACTGAATTTATATAAAAATTTTTTAAATATAGTAACATAAATAATAATGATATAACTCCCGTATTATGTCATTAAATGAAAACTTACTCATCGAAGGACGAACGATAGTCGCTGGAAAGCCTCCATTTAATACTTCGTGTTCAGCTAAATGTTTTGTAAATGTATAAGGATTTGGATGATTTTTTAATATCTCTGGTGTTTTGGAATTTAAGGTAGCATCATCTAGTGTATCAACTAGCTTCAAAATTGTATTTACGTCCGCTGGTGCGGGATATATTATTTCATCGACATTGTGCAATACTGCATTAACATACGCACTAGAAACATGAACTAGCGCCTAAAATAGCAAACATTGAATTACAAAATTATACATCAAAATAAATAATTAAACATCAAAACAAATAAATAAAGATAAATCTGTATTCAAAAATACAAGGAGATAAGCGCGTGCGTAATATTTTTTCAGAATACCAGTTTACCTTGAGTCTTTTAATCTCTCGACAGAGTTGGACGATTCTACGAGTTCCTAATAAGTTAATATTTGTTGTAGTCTTTAGATCGGCTTCAAAGTCCAACGTAGCGGCTGAATGGAAAACGACTTCTACTGTATTTATTAAGGTTGTTCGATCTTGTGAAGACAATCCCAAATTTTCTTCACCAACATCCCCGGCAATTGCGATTAATTTCTTAAATAAATCGGTTTGTTTCTCCTCCCTTATTCGATTAAAGACCTATGTAGAAGTGAGTTATGACTCAGTAAGTAAACTGTCTATGATATACCAACAGATTGGTAATAAATTTGGTTAAAAATTCCTAGCAAATTGGTATCAACTAGGTCCGTATTAAGCTTGTGTTTTGCTGACAGAGCCTGTTGATTTTTGTCATCAATTTACTATCAGATTATATAGCTGATATTTCTACATTGTCAGTACTGAAAATCTATAGTGCATTTAACATATGTAACATATTTTCAACATTAAGGCCCAGTTTCACAACTCATAATTAACTCTTAACCGAGGTTTAATTTATTTCTCATTTCTTTCCAATTCTAGCATTAGAAAGAGATAAAGAATAAGTTAAACCTCTATTAAGAGTTAACCGTGAGTTGTGAAACTGGGTCTAAATATCAGAATACAATCATAATCCGATAGCAGATTGATAACAGAAATAAAGCAGAATCTGTTAAACATAGATTCTGCTCTACTTATGCTGCCAATTTATGTTAAGCTGTATAACAAATATGTCAAGATTTATTTTTATTACTGCTTTTGACTATATATATATATATATATGTAGTGTATATTAGTTTAGCTATGAAAAGCATATATTTTAGATCTGTTTAAGTCTTTTATAAAATTCTAATGCAATTCAGTGCAGCAATAAAATACAAACTTTTGATTTGCTTGACTTGTGTCATTAATAATTGTTACTCCTCATACTTTATTGTCAAATTGCTGTATCAGCATTCTGTCAATATTGGCTGCGTTCAGCAGAATGTATATTTTGCAACTGTTGGAAGTTTTTTTCGCGCTTATTACACTTTTAGATTTAGAGGAATGATCCTCTAATACCTCAGCAGACAATCATAAAACAATTGCAAAATTGTTGCATTCTGCTGAACGCACCCATTGTATGTCTGATTCTATATCAAATTTCTAGCTCTTCTGCTGACAAAATTTGTAGTAAACATTTTACAGAATTTACATCTATTTTTTTAGCTAAATTTCTCGTATGGTTCATCTTTTCTCTTTTTTTCTCTCAACGTTGGAAAAAAATAGAAAAGATGAACGGTATAAATTCAATTAAAAAGAACAAATCTTTTGTTCGACAAACTTGGCTCTCCGAGAATGTAGGACTACATTCGAAAGGCGTTTCAATGCGCCACTTACCGAGTTTTTCGTTAATTCCTCCAATCTCTCCATGATCTGCTTTCCCTTCTTCGGTCGCATTAGCAAATAAATATTCTTGATATCAGGGCAACATCTCAAGAGTTTCTCTATCAAGCAGACGCCGACGAAACCGGTGCCACCGGTGATAAAAACGCTTTTACCATTGTAAAAATCAGTTACGTACGATGCCATTGTTAACGTTAATCGGCGATTAATCGACTTGACAAGACAGCTTCTGTTGACAATAGAAGCTAGTAGAGCAGACGCAAATAGTTCGGCTTGGCGAGTGAGGATCAGCAAGCCTCACTGCAAGCGACACAAGCGACGCGAAAATCAGACTGGCACGGATTGCCACGGATTGCCACGAATTGCTCCACGCCACGAGTCACGACTCGTAACTGTCGAATTATCAGCCGACTGCCACCAAATGCCACCTGCCACGGCAGTCACGGGACACTGCTGACGCTGACGTGCTGACTGCTGTTACCTGTTACTACTCTGCAGGCAGCTCCGGCAATGACCTCGGCTACAATATATACAGCAACTTTCCCGTTAAGATGGTTCTACAGTAAATCGAGTTATCATAGAAATGATTAATTTTTAATACAATAAAGTTGAAATACCAAGCTTGAGACGTGTGCAAAATTCTAGGGTAGGTTATGGATAAAATAAGAGGAAAAAAAATGTTGAAAATGTAACTTTTAACGTATAACCTAATGACAGGTCGGCGATTTTTTGACTAACTGCAAATAAACATTACCATAGATTTCTCTAAAAAAAAAAAAAAAAAACCGAGATTATAATAGTAAAAAAATTACGATTGTAATGATCACAAAAAAGTAATAGGTCATCGGCTATTCTATTAGGTGTTAAACTTAATTCCTGCCGTTTTTCGTCTCCAAAATTAATTTGTTTCGAAGGGAAGATGAATGAATACCTTAATCAAATTAATTTCCTCCATTCTCTACTTTATTACTAATTAATAATATTTTATTAATAATACTTTAATTAAGGTATTTCCCTTCGAAACAAATCAATTTTGGAGACGAAAAACGGCAGAAATTAAGTTTAACATCTAATAGAAAGATATTTAATGTTGAAATGGCAAGGTATTTTGACAAAAACAAATTACAAAAAATTAACTTCTTTTTATTTCATTACTTTTGCATATTAAATATTGTTTATCTTATACCATTTCATTAAAATACACACGTAGTTTTAATATTTTATCCAAATTATGTAGATATTTGGGATTTTAGATAGACCCTGGTAAGGCACCCTGAATTTTCGGCACTTTACTGTAGAACTATATACCATAAAGGAAACTCGAAAACGCACCCTCTCCCAAGCAGAACTAAAAAAATGTCGATAAATTACCGACATGTTTAATTTCGATTCCTACATTATCATTTCGACTTATACACCGATCCGATGCATAAGTCCATGTTCGTCTACACTCAACATCAGCTGACATCAGCCCATGGTAATAAAAAACGTAAGGAAGTAACATTGGATTCGCTACTGGTCTAGGCCCGTCTACAATACATGGAGTAAGAAGTAAGAGTAAAAAATTGACCAATCACAGTCGATTATTCTTTTCACATTCGACTGTGATTGGTCAATTTCTTACTCTTACTTTTTACTCCGTGTATTGTAGACGGGCCTTTAAGCAGTAAGCGAATCGACCAATTACAATAGAGACCGTAAGACCATTGGTAAGCAACAGCGAATCCAACATGTTGATTTCGTTACTGCTTAAGTCTTACGTCTTAAGTTTTTCTATGTGCCAAGGCCTTTACGTTTTGTTAGTTCTAGCTAGCTACTTGATTTTATTTCTCGAATTAGCGATGAAATGCGCGGCGTACTATTAGGTCTGTTTTTTATTATTGCTGCACTCTGAACCAGTGCAATAAGTTAAAGTGAACAAACGTTTATTTGTTTCACTTCAATTTATTGTACTGTATGTACTAATTCAGAAAGAGTAGCAATAAAAAACAGATCTATTGACAAACTTTTATAATTTTATAAGATTCGTGATATATATAATTAATAATTATTAACAAAATTAACTTTCCATATACACTATATTTTAATCCAAAATAATAGAGTAATATTTTTCATTAGGAAGACTTTTGCTCATTTGGTTATTATAGACCACAGAGGTTGCACTATGATCATGAATTTGATCATAAATGATATAATGATCTGATGATTTTTTACAACCTTAATTTTATTATAGCCTATTATTATATATATTCCATGAAAGTTTTCTCGTTTCTTTCCGGTCAGTAAACTGGGATATGAATCTAAAGAATCTTTTTGATATGGTGAACGGCTGGCACCGTTTCACACAGCATAGAATATTTACAATAAATATTTATTAATATTCATTTTTTTGAAATGGTATATAGCTATTTCATACATATTTTATATAAAGCTTTATTCGAAATAGTATTAAAATATAGACTATAGATTTATCGTAAATATGTAATATTTATGATAAATATAAATAAATATTTCTAATAAGTATTTTTATTTATTTGTATTATGTTTCATTAAGTATTTTCATAGCATTTACTATGACATTCACAATAAATATTTCATAATATTTATAATAAATGTTTATGATCTGTGCAGTCTAAGACCACAAAAATATTTTCAAAATATTTAAAATAAATCTTATAAATATTCATAAATATTTTGTAAATATTTTATAAATATTGTGTGCTGTCTGGGATGATTGTTGAACTACTTTCTTTTACACAAAATCGAATTAATATGTTCAATTTCCGTGAAGAGAATGACTTGAAGTAAGTGAAACCGCGTACGGATACGTATTAAATTAAAATATTGTTTTATTAACAAATATCTAAAATAAGGCTTGGAAAAATCTATCAATAATAATAATAATAAGCAAGTCCATCAAAGCCAACATCAGTTATTCGGATGCACAATTTATTTTCGTGTAAATATTAATTAATTTTTTTGATATGATTTAAATTAACACGAAAATAAATTGAGCATCCGAATAACTGATGTTGGCTTTGATGGGCTTGCTTATTATTATTATTATTGATTGTTTTATTAGAAATGGGCTTTTTTAAACCTTTTTATTATTATACTTGCACACAAGGTATCGCGCCGATTTCTACTTCCTTATATATTATAATTCTTGTCTATAATTTGTTATTAATTACAATTACACATCAGATATTTTATAATACAATTTTTTAAAACGCATATACACGGTATCGACGAGATTCAAATCTAAGATCTCTGAGGTGATAACATCTAACACATTAACGCTGAACTACAACGCATACTTGTCTGAACACTTTAGCATTCAATAATTATATTATTCGAGCCGTCATGTCTCTCGCGAATCAATGTTTGATGATTGCAAGCAGACATTGTAATCAATGTAAAATAATTTCTATTTGCCTATAAATCAAATACATATGATCCATGTAATATTTAAACGTTACATACTACATATAGATAAATAGTTTATACAATTATACAATTAAGAAAATTGTTAGATCAAGTATTTTAATCAGTTACAAGATATATTCATATTAACTGTAACGAAATTGACTACATTGTTAGATAAATATATTGTTAGATAATTGTATATTTTAATTATATTATATATCAACCAGATGTATTATTAATACATATAATTTCTATTTGCTTATAAATCATACGCTCATTATAAATTATACAAAGAATTATTAGATAAAGTAAATTTTGTTTTAATTAACTCGAAGAAATATTTAATTGTATTAACCGTAACGCGCCCATGCGAAATTGACTATATTGATTTGTATATTAATTTATTTTATACAATTAATAAACAAATAACAGGTTTAATTTAATTGATTAAACTAAATTCAATTGCATAACAAAAGACTTTTTTATTTCATATGCAATTTAAATAATAAAATATTTATTTAATGTGACTACACATATGATTGATATAAGAAAATTTCCCAAATGTTACTATAATATAATTGAGGTAAGTACTTTGGTTATTGAAGAATATATGACATTATGTTTGTTTCATTAAGAGGAGTGCACTACGAAGAAATTCGACAGAAACAAAAACAAAGGCTAATTTTATCGGTAATACAGGCGTCTCCTTTAGCATCCACTTATAATACTGTCATTGAATTAACAAAATTATTTTCAATTAGACTGATGCTGTTGACCCAACAGCATTTTTTCTCAGTATAGATAATTAGGCTTAGATATCTAATATGAACGATTAATTAGTTAGAAATTGTGTGTATGAGTTAGTTAGAAACTGTATGCATGCGATATTGATATTATAGTAGTGTGTACTGTATATAAATAATGTGTCAATCACATGTAAATCATATGGGTGTAAGTTCTACTGAATTGATAAAACAGACGACTTATGGGTCATTAACATATCATTATATACTGTTACATAAATATTTCACGCATAGATACATAAATTTTCGTATAACAATAGCGTTTTAATTAGACGTCTATAAGTCCAATTCTAAAAATTCCGTGTTGTTTCTTCGTGTAAACTACTACTCAAACAGTACACAATATTTATAAAATATTTACAAAATATTTCTGAATATTTATAAAATTTATTTGAAATATTTTGCCAATATTTTTGTGATCTTAGATTGCACGTGTGCATAAACATTTATTATAAATATTATAAAATATTTAATATTATGTAAATATTTTGTTGGTCTTAGATTGAATAGATTATGAACATTTATTACAAATATCGTAAAATATATATTGTAAATGTTATAGTAAATGCTGTGAAAATACTTAATGAGACATTATAATCCAAGTAAAAAATACTTATTAGAAATATTTATTTATATTTATCATAAATATTACGTAAAATATTTAGTCTATATTTTAATAATATTTCGAATAAAGTTTTATATAAAATATGTATGAAATATCCATATAACATTTCAAAAAATTAATATTAATAAATATTTATCATATTAATATTCTGTGCTATCTGAGTAGTTTTATATAGACTACAGCTATTTTATAAGTACAAATTGAACAACTTTTCAAACAAATGTTGCCACGACTTGATAGCTTTAGAGCACCATATTGGACTAAGAAATGGGAAAGATCTCAATTTCAAAATTTTTTGTCGTTCTGGATATAAAAGCTCCACTTCACAGACATGGATTAATGCATATATTTTAGTCCTGGAAAAAGATTTTCGAATTTGTAAAAGAGGAAAAAAGTAACTATTATACACGAATTAAGCGTTTAATCGATAAAACAGACGTTTTTAGAATTTCCTTAATACGTATATTTCAATTGATTTGTAATCAAAGTTTTACTAATTTGTAAGAAACATATTTGAC